TGGAAATATGGTCGTGAAGAGGAAAGGTGGTGGAAGTATAATTGATCAACGTCCACTGTTTTCTAGTGATGGAGAGTAAGTTTAATTTTAGTTTCTATTTCAAGTTTTATTTCATTTTCTTGAGGTTTTAATCAGACATTATACATAGCTATCAATGTGCAATAGATATTTTGTTTTTCAGAACTCTATATATAGTGTGGAAGAATGTCATAAGGGTATACAGCACGCAAACGGGAGACTTTGTGCGAGAGTTTGAGTCCTTGGATTATAGAATTGCTGGAGTAATACCGCATCCAGATAATGCCAGTGTTATTATTGGTTGTACCGAAAATGGCGAATTGTATTTCTGGAATTGCCAGAGTGGAATAATTACTAAGAAATTAGTAAGAGCTTAAAACATTATTTTGTTTGCTAATATTTCTTTTATTTATAAAAGAAGCATCCTTAATGTATATTCAAATTAAATTATAATACATGTGTACTTGTTATTAATTTTTAACTCATATATTTGGATTTTTAACTTTGAATTCTTAACTCTTTGATTTTTTAATTAATTTCTTTCTTGTTATTATAAACTTGTAAATATTAAATGACTGTGTGTTTATATTTTTACAGCAATTAAAATTTCTAGCAAATGACAAAGCAAAAATTAAAACTTTTCACATTGTAAAACACAGAACAGCTCAGGGAAACGAAATATGTCAAACGTTAATAACTCATCTCTCTGATTGTGGAAACAAAATATATGTACTTTTATTTGATATAGAAACTGGAACATTTATAAAATCAATATATATCTTGTAAATATTTTTTTTCTATTAAGTTTTATTTGATAAGTGCATAATTTTTGATAATTTATTATCTACTTTTTTTTTAGGACTAAGTCACAAGAGTATTATACTGATATAATTGGGAATCATGGAGAAAATTTAATAGCACTTTTACATGATACAGATTTACATATATTAAATCCAGCTAGAAATTTAGTTGATATAATGTAAGATATTTTGGGAAATGTATAATTATTTATATGTGTATAATAGAATATTATATTTTAAATACTTAATTTTGATATAGGCACAAGACTGGTAAAACTGGTAGAGTACCTACTTGCATAGCAGGACATCCAGAAGAAGAATGTGTTGCTACCGGAGATTCTACAGGTCGTGTATTAGTATGGAGAAGTTTATTCCAGACTAGACCATATACAGCCGTTTTTCATTGGCATACATTACCGGTTACAGAAATAGTGTTTAGCAAGTCAGGTAATAGGCATTGAAAATTTATATTCGCAAAGTATTTTTCATAAAGCAATAATTTAATGGCATGATATAACACATTTCTTTGTTTTACAGGTGGCCATATGTATACAGGTGGTGGTGAATGTGTATTGGTAAAATGGACTTTAGCAAATCCCCAACATAAGTCATTTCTTCCACGATTACCAGCGCCTATTAAACATCTTACTATTGCACCAGATAATTTATATGTTGCTGTATCGACTTTAGACAATGGTAAATTTATTTATTTTTTATCATGAAAATTCGAATTGATATAACAAGTTTATGACGACTAATCATGTTTTCACTATAAGGTATTGTTATTGTAAATCCTCAAAGAAAGTTAACATCAGTTATACAAAACTTTACGTGGGGCGTTGCTTCGTCATCCAAAGATCTATTTCCTGCGGGACTTATCGTTGATCCAAGAACAGGTAGTCTTGTTCTAAATAGTCGTACTGGACACGTACAATTTTATAATATACATACAAAAAATCTGTTGTACAATGTAAGTAGATTATTGCAAATTAAAAGCAAAGCGATGTAAAAAGAAAATTTAAATAAATAAGTAAAAAATTGATAAATCTTTGACAAATTTTCCAGATTAATATAACTGCTCAAAATTTTCTGACTCAAGAACGTGATGTAATTATTGTAAATACAGAAGTTACAAAAATAGCTCTAAATCATGATGGTACATGGATGGCAACAGTTGAAGAACGAAATGATAAAGTTTCATCTATAGAAGTTAGATTAAAATTCTGGCTCTACGATTTGAAAAAGCAAATGTAAATATATATAAATTTTATATTTGTTAGAACACTGCAATATCAATATATAACTTCACTCAACATTCTAGATTTATATTAAATACATCCATTGAATTACCTCATGAAAATGGAATAAATGCATTACATTTTCAACCAGATACGACATTTGACGATGGAGATTGGTTAGCTGTTACCACTGGGAGAGATAATAAATTTAAATTATGGAATTTGAGAAAATCGTCCATTGTAGAAGGTACATATATCTAATTATCTATTTTGTATAATAAAATAGTTTCATTAAAATTTAGCGAAATGTATGTATATTATTATTTGTTATAATTATATTTATTATAGATAAAAAAACAAAACATTGGTATTGTTACGGAGTTGGAGACTATCGCAATCTAGCTGCTACAGATGCTGGTTTTTCAGTTGATGGTTCATTATTAGCTGTTGGTTTTAATTCTACCTTAACTTTATGGCTGCCCGAAACTTGCGAATTAAAATCAAGTCTTACACATTCTCAGTATAATGAACCAATATCGTAAGAAAAATAAAATATAACTATTTTAATAAGTACATTAGCTAAACATTGAAAGCGATCGTTTATAAAGGCATAATTGTAAAATGTTTACAATAGACGAATAGAATTCGGCAAACACGAGGCTTGTCATCTTGTTGTGGTTGTGTCTCAGCAGCATATAACAGTTTGGAATATTTTAACTCTTGCTATAACATGGAATGTACCTTTGAATGTCGTGAGTCTCACATGTGACTTAAAATCTACATACATGGCAGCATTTACATCTGACAATTCATGTATGCTATACAGTATATAAATTCCTCTTTATTATATACTATTTATTTTAATATATTATTTTATATATATATATATATATAATAT